TTACTGTAAGTGGCAGGTGATTGGTATGTAGAATTGGTCATTCCCATCTCTGATGCTCAATTGCAACTTGACTTGGTTTGCTTGGGTGTGGAATGATTAGGCTCTGGATTGGGAAAGAGAGACATATATCTAGATGGTTGAAAGGCAAGCAAAGGCCATTCCATTCTTTCAGGAATTAGGCTTAGGAGGCTGGTCTGGCTAGCAAAACATAACCTAATTCAATTCCCATACCTTACTAGAGAAGGGGAAGAAGACCAAAAGTATCACCAAGGGGTTTGTCAACTGATACAAGCTAGGAGTTGACAAAGGAGAACAGCCCCTCTTTTGGTCTTCCAAGTTGAACGAAATGTAGCTACACTCGTTCTGCCATGTAGTGGAATCCTCATTGAAGGTTTTGACCAAAGTTTCCTCTTTCAGTAGGTTGCGAGGTAGTAAACTTTTGCAAAAAAAAAAGATTACTTTTTTCAGACGGCTGTAAGATCAACCTTTGTAAATAAAAATTTTGCAACCTCACCGAATTTAGTATATGATTTGTGGGTGCTTCTTAGTGCCTCCCAATATCATTTCTCCACCCATTAATTTTTAACATAATGTAGTAATTTGGTAACGTTATGGGGTGATTGGACAGCATTTTGTAATAACTTGATAATACTGTGCAGTAATAGTTGATTGTTATTGGATTACTATATTGTAGTGTTGCATAATAAGGACAGAGTTTTTCCAAAAAATTGGAGGTACAATGCCTCTGAGGGTCCAAACAATGACACGATTTAAAACAGTTAGCAAGACAAGCTTATTCTCTTGTCTAAGTCTAATCGGTTTACATAATTTTTTTATTGCTCTTGATTACTCTCTCCCATATATTATACCATATATGTTTTATTGCAATGAACGGTGGAATAGGAAGCAGCCAGTCCTTATCTAAAATATATCTTCATGTTCACGAGGTATCTTGTGGATGCTGATTCTTTAGGTTTGAAACTGTCTACCTCGATGATGAGATTCGAGTTGTAAAGGATATTAGGGGAGACTATTTAATTGTTGAACGCGCTTCTTATACCTGGAAAGAATGAAGGTAACACTTCTACTCTGCTTTATTGAAACAACTTGATGATTAAACCTGGTTGAATTAGCAGGGTTTTTCTTATATCTTTTTCGTTTTAAAATTTGTTTAAACTGTGCATGCATATTATTTCTAAGAATCAGAATCATCTAAAGAAAAAAAAAATCGAGATCCAGCTTTCTATTAAAACTAGCATTTGTAGGAAATAGTGGATGTTGTGCTTTTTTCTGGTTACTTTTTATGTAATCTTTTGGAGTTCATTTGTTTCTTAAGCATTCTGTTTAAAACTAGCATCTTGGCACCCCGTTGTTTTCATGTATGTATTCATATTCTTTAGCTGGGGAAAATAGATTTTATGCATGCTTTGTGGTTGCCATTTAATGTGCACCACATTAGCTGTCATATTTAACTTTATGAATTTAATTGTATATCTTTGTTTTCTGTCTAGTAGTACGAGGGTTTACTTATTTCTTCCTAGTAGTTGGTATTAATAAATTCTTTTTTGTTTTCCTATTAGAGTTTCTGCTTCCAATTAGATGGGGTTGAATTAGTCTAAGAATACCTTGTAGTTTCTTTGTGTGGTGAAATTGATATTGAGAGTAGTTACAGCATTTATGCATGTTCTGTGGTGAAATCGTAATTATGCAATCAAATCTCATCCCCAGTGTGATGCTTGAGGGAATTTAAGTATGATACCTATTCACTTTTCTGCCGGAGACCCAAACTTCTCATGTTAATTTAACTTATAATTCCTAAATAGATAGATTACTTTGTCATATATCAATTGGTATGCGAGTCATAGTTCATGATTTGTGTATAAAATCTCCAAGTTCTCATAAGCAAAACTCTAATTACCCAATCCCAAAAGATTCTAAACATCAAATTTGACAATGAAAAAGGAAGAAGAATGGCAAAGAACTCAGAACCCCAAGCATCAAATTGGAAGAAAAAAGAGAAGAAGAGGAACTCAAAACCCTAACTTGAAATCCATTAAGTCCAAAAATTCGACCACCATTGGGAGGTGACTTACACCATCATCACCATCAACTTCAAAAACCTTATAGATGAAAAATGACTTCAAGTTGTCAAAATTTACAGTGTGCTCAAGTGAAGATCTGAAGTTGATGTTAGAGGTTCTTCATGCTAATTAGTTGTATGCTTGATATACCCAATGGTGTGTCTCATACCGGACTTGACTCTTATGGTCATTACTTAGGATCTAGTTATAAGGTTTTGTTAATGGTATGGACTCGTTAAGAGATAATTCAACAATCTCTTTGATAAGAAAAGTACTCAAAGCTTGATATATTTTTTCTTCATCCATAATCTGCCATAAAAGATAGCTAGCTTTGGTCTTTTAATACAATAGAAGTTATGTTGGAAGTTATTTTACAGAATTCTATCAGAAGCCTTTGAAATGACCGTTTGATCTTTAGAAAGAAAAGAAGAGAGAAGAGAGAAGAAGAGAGGAGGAGTGGAGAAACAAAGAGGGAATTGGGTAATTTTTTCTTATTCTTTTCCTTTATGATTACAAGCATAAAAATGAGCATTTTATAAGTTACAAAGCAATAAAGAGGTGATATTCACGGCCGGAATCAATGGCCGTTCATGATGCAGCGGCGGCTGTTGTAGAATACATTCAAAATATTAAATTTAACCCTACCCTAATTGATACATGCAAGACTAGTTTACCCTTTTGTTATTTCCTATTTAACTCTTAATATCTTGACAATACTCTCCCCTTGAACATAAACTTTGTCCTCAAGGTTGAGTTATGGAAACCTTTTCTTCGAGAGTCCCTTCCGTAACAATTTCCTCTAAGGCCATCATTGTTTTACTTGCGCAATGGTGTCCTGAGAAGTATCAATATCCACACTTGTAGTAAATGGCCTTTGCTTTTCTATGTTATGTATCTCTTTCCGTGGCTTGGAGTGGTTAGTCATAATTTTTCGTTTTAGATCCTTTTGAGAATTTGACAATTTTGCCAGTAAAATATGAATTTCGGGATATTTTATTACATATTGTTCTTGAAGTAAGGTTTGCTCAAGGGCTTGATTAAGTTTACGCGGGCTGAGTAGTCTTATTATCGGTTGTAGTTTTGGTTTGAGACCTCTAATGAAACTGGATATAAAGAATTTCTTCTAGAGTGTGGGTTTATCTGCATCCACGGGAGAACATAAGTGTTCAAATTGTTCTTGGTAGTTGAGAGCAATATCTGTTTGAAATAATTTGTTGAACTCCTCTATGAAATCTTTTCGCGATGGTTCCCCGAATCTATGGTAGGGTTCTTCTACAAAATACTCCCAATTCATAGCATTAAATTTGACTAGCAATACCATACATCGGCAACTTCTCCCAAATATAGAGTTGTAATTTCTACATTTTGTTCGTTAGGAGTATTGTGGATCATAAAGTATTTTTCACACTTTTAAATCTACCCGTTGGGTTTTATTCATTCGAAAAGTGAAATTTCCACTTTAGGAAGCAAAAAGAGTTTGGTGGAACTTGTTCGATGCTTAGGGTTCATTGGGCCGGTTCAAGTCGGGCCGGTTCAAACTAGGTTAGGTGGGGTAGGTCTGGTCCAAGCCAGTTCAGGTTGGCTAATTCAGTCCGGATTGGTTTGGTCTGGACCAACAAATAGGTACGAACGAAAAAATTCGGTTTTAGGGATATGGGGAGCCCTTAAACCCCAAAGTTCTTTCTCTTTTTCCTCGAGCACGAAGGGCGGCGGCAGATTTGTTCTTAGCTCATGCATTGCCTCAAGTGCGAAGGGGGGATGTAGAAACGCCTTTTGCTTGTGCGCGGTTGTTGTTTGGTTTGTTGGGGTCAGCATCCCGCGGCATATCGCACCATTGCGCGTTGTCTCCTTGTTTATGAAAGGATGCATGCGGTTTCCTTGCAGCCTGATCGGAGTGGATGTTGCCTATGCCGCCGGACTCAACTTCTCTTGATGAGGCGCCCGACCGCGTATCAGCTCCCGTCTGGTAATCAAATTGATGCTGGAATTCATGCTTAATTTAGTATACTTTCTTTTCATGAAGTGCGGTGAATGTTCCAATCAACATTTCTTCACGGTGAATTCGAAGTGTCTCGAGTTTCTCTAGTTCAGACCATCGTGACTTCCCTTTTGACCGGT